TATAATTGTTTTTAACTCCGGTAGAGTTATTTGACACTATAACGCTATAATTTATGATCAGTTTTACAGATAAATACCTCGATTTTATATTTAAAATCATATTATGAAAAAAAGAAAGAAAAAATATAAACAGAATCAATTCAGGAAACTACAAACGATTACAACGGTATAATATCAATAATATAATCATTTTTATATTTAAACGATACACTTTACAAAGGAAATCGTAAGAATTTTATTTTCGTATTTGTAGAATTCATTTTTAACTGATTTTGTGTAGAAATAAACCACAAATATATAAACTTGAATTTTTATTTCTCTGATTATTGAAAGAGATCATGTTTCTAGTAAGTATTAATATTAAGTGTAGTAAAAAGAAATCCATTATTTTTACATGAAATTGAATGGAAAAATAATGGATTTCTTTTTACTACACCTAATAAATCAGGGGTGTCTCTTTAGGAGATAGTACCGATGACTTTTTATATATTTTTTATATAAGTTACTTTTTATATTTTTCATTTATTTATATTTATTTTTTGTATGATTTATTTTGTCATCTGACTCTGCATATTTTATAAATAGCAGCGCATTTCTCGACTTGGATCTTCCAGAGCTCAATCGAAGTTCGAAATCGTCTTGACAGATAAAACGTTAAACTTCATTCTGACTTTTATTCTGTCTTACAAAGAGGAAAAGTTGGAATGATGCCCGTTGTATTTATTTCTAATTCCTGTTACAGTTATTCTGTCTGATAGTATTCTGTCTGAAGTATTCCTTTCAAGATTAAACAATTTAATGTGAGCAATATTTCACGAATACTCGTCGGATAATTCCCGACAAACTAGTTTCGGCAAGAAGGAAAGTTCTTCCTTGTAGCTATCTCGACTAAAACGCAATAATAATTATTTACCTGAAGTACAAACATACGGCATCAAATAGAAGTCTCAAGAACAATGACGCATATCCACGCGAACATCGTACAGTCAAATCATAAAGTCAACTCTTGAAAAATCTGGGCGAGAAAAAATTAAATTTTGCACTTATATATTTTATTCCTAATCCCTTAATCCATTTATAGCGCATTTAAAAATTTTATTTGACAGAGGTGAAAACTCCGCGAGTGTCAGAAAAAATGTTACCTTTTTTAAGTCGAATAAAACAAAATTTCAACATGAGCGATAGTGCAAAACTTTATAACGAAACTTTATAGCGAAACTTTATAACTTAAACTATATGTGACGAAACATTTACATGTTTATACCTGTTCTTTAGATCTCTTTTATTCTATTTACTAAAGCGTACTAAATCTACTCTCTCTCATAATGAGAATAATCTCTTTGATGTTTCAAACATGATTACGCGAGTGGCTCATAATAAGATCATTTAAGTTTAAATACATTTCGCAAACGAGTATTGTTTCTGAGATTCGTAAAGAAAATTTCGCAAAGAGCAACTAACGTTCAGACTGGCTCCCTACATTTCTTGCGAATCCTTAATTCCTTTCCACGTTACATAGCGGGAAGAGGCTTTGCCCAGCCAGCGAGCTTGTTGCCGTCGTTCTTCCGGAAAGCAGCTCGTTATTGCGATCCACAATTCATCGAAAATCTCGTAAACCGCTCTCATGCTAACACTGAGTAAACTATGCATGTGTGTAACATGCAAGAAGCATTAGAGCTACTCTCTGAATGAACAGCTATCTCCTCATTACAGATCCTAGGCATTAACGAGAATGACAGTTATCTCAACACAGTTCCCCAATCACAAATTATCAAAATTAAATGAAAACAGGGTTACTAAAGCATTTAGCACAGGCGAGAGAGAGAGAGAGAGAGAGAGAGAGAGAGAGAGAGAGAGAGATATGTTATATAAAATAATAAGTAACATAACACATAAAAATAGATCGTACGTTTCAGCTCAAATTTGTAACAAACAGAAATATAATTCGTGAAGATTTCGTTTCACGCTGAGAAATTCTCTGTCTAATAATTTGTTTTCCAATCATTTTCACTGGATCTCTTCAAGCGAATTTTAATCAAGCCTTAATTACTGAGGTACTTTATATTGGACTAAAATTTTGAATGAGTTTTGGTCAAAGAACTGCTAGATAAAAGGAGCGACGAACTGTAGACTTTAAACTCGGGCACATCTCAGATGAGCTTAGACTTGCCTGTCGTTGTGTATTGCGAGATTACGTTACGTGGTGTAGGCAGACAAAGTGAGTGCATCCGATGATGCATATGCGGAAATTATGCTACGTGACTCTCAAGAGGCTGGAAATAACGTGCCATCACTATTTACGAAACTTAAAAATGTCGCGATGTATCTCGTCAGGAATTAACTTTCTTAAATTTTGAGTTAAAAACTTAAAATAATAGGGCTCCTAATGTACAACATGATATAACAGGCTAATAAGAGAAAACATAAAAAAATCTTCATTATTCGTTTAACATAAATATAATTGAAAATAGATATAACAAACAAGAATTGCAGAAAATAGGAAAATTAAAACACTACAGAATATAATACCAAGTACAATACATGTTTCGATCTTATATTTAGGTCCTCTTTCTACAAAAAAATGTTTTAAAAATTTTTTAGCTTTGATAACTTTTATATATAATATATATAAAACGTTTTTATATATCTTTATGTTCTCACTAGAGAACAACGAGAAATTTTCATAATCGGTGATCCAATTGCTTGACGAGCAATTTTCGTTTCTCTGTTTTAACACATCATCTAATTATAACGAAACAGTCACTTTCTTAATATAATAATTTTTATTGAGCTGTTTTTGTACATCTAAAGAAGTGTACACCTAAATATAAAATCGAATGTATTGTACTTTGTTAGTATTGTATTCTGTAGCGTTTTAATTTTCCTATTTTCTGCACTTCTTGTTTGTTATATCTATTTTCAATTATATTTATGTTAAATAATGGAGATTTTTTTTTATTCTTATTATTCTTTTATATCATATTGTACTTTAAATTTTAGGAACGTCAGAAAATCACATAAATTCAGGAAGGTTGTAAGATTTATAACACGCATAGCACGTCACGCTGGAATTTTAACGCGATATCATAATTTCTTCTCACTCTTATCCGGATGTGACGACGAAAAAATCGACACGAGAAAATACTCCAAGAATACTTTTATTTTCCTCTTGATTTTGCTTAGAGTGATTTCTTGTACGTAATGTTACTTTTTTCTGTTGGAACAGTAGAAGAAAGATTTATCTATATGTTGAAATTAATCTGTTTGATTATTATTTATTCAATTTCTGAATAACTTTTAAGTGTTTAGTTGTATATTTTATTAAGAAATTAAACATGTAGTAGGGTGTCGTAAAATACTATAGCAAGAAAGTTTTCGGAACATGTCAATTCAAAGAAACTAAAATTGACTGTCACCTAATCTTGGCTCATTTTGATCAATCTTATTTTTCGTTTTTTACAAAAGTGATTTTATTTGCTACAATAATGATTAACTAACCACAGAAAAAAATTAACTAGTATACCATTTTCTGCGATTACAAGAAAATTGCCATTAATAATGTCAAAAACTGATCAATAAACAAAAAGGGGATAAGAGAAATCAGTCGCCTTTATTTTCTTAAAACTCGTAAATAATATACATGGCGCCAAACTATTTTACATACAATTTAATATTATTAATATATTAACAATACAGTAAAAAAAAGAAAATGAACCAGTCTCATCAACTTCAATTAACATGGTCAGTCGATTAAATTTTAATATCAACCTTAATATAAAACTAAAAATATAAATTTCTGATAACTATGAAGAACGATATGTGGCATTAAAACAATTAAAACAATTAATTTTATCTACTTTATCCTATGAATGCAGCAATAATAATCATTATTTAATTGTTCCTGGTTTACAGTGCCAGGAAATTATGTTTTCAGTTTTGCAGTTAGCAAATTGAAATTTAATTGATTAAGTTAAATTGATGAGAGTCAGAGTTGATGAGATAGGCCCAATGCTCTGCCATATTCTGATTGAGTTATAAGCTTTTTGAAAATTAATCTCTATAACAACCGATCGCAGTTTTTCCTAAGCAAAGAAATATTGAAGTATTGATTTTTTTTATAATATAACTTACGAAAGGATATAGGTATGTAGGTAAAATTGTCAGCTAATTAATGTCCCAAAATTATCAGCTAATTGCGATGCCTTTATTCAATATTTTGATTTTATTTTGCTTTTTTACACGTGATACATTTCCGTCGAGGTCAAAAGGATAAATGGCGCTCGAATTACCGTAAGAATTTGTAGCAGTGTATACATATGCGTAGCAATTTAAAGCGCATTTAAAGCAATACATTTTATTGCAATATTCCGAATTTCTCTGTAGGATATTTAGTAAAATATTTAATTTGTTCTAAAATATTTTTTTATGGCGATACTTTTTACGATCATTAAAAATGTTTGCGTCTTTGCTGATCAAATCGTAAATCGAACGTCGTTATTAGAAGAAGTACTGGTCTTTTACGGCAACAAGCAACTTTACAAAGTTGTATATTTCGTCTAAAAAGTGAGCAATCAACTACAAAACTGAAGTTTGATATTTCTACGGTTAATTGAAGCTTAATAATTAATTTACTAATGCCTTTGAGCCTCTATCTTTATTAATCTATAATTCAATGGTAAAACATTAAAAGTAACGATCGTTCATTTCAATTTATCTCTCAATTGACAGAAAATATCATAATTTTTTAAACACATATTTCTACTATAAAAATTTGTGCAACTTTTTCTTTTTTAAATTAATAAAAGAAATATCTTTATATTTTATATAAGAATCAACAGTCTTGTAAAATATTTTTATTCATATGATTAATGATAAATATAAAAATAAATGTTATATGAAAATAAATAAATATATAGAATTAAAATATTTTTAAAATATTTTTAAAATATCTTCATTATTATTTTGCATGTATTTATATACAAAAATGTTTTATGTTTCAGGCCTCGTTTTTCTCGACAGCACTGAAAACCCTGATCTCTGTGTCTACTGTGATACTGCTTGGCCTCATATTTGCTTACCATGCCTTAGAAGTTCAGGTATGTATGATACATCTGTTACGATGTAATAAGTGAATATTTAAATAAAATAAAGAAAGCTTGAAACGAAAAGTCGTTCAAACAGAAAATATCGCACCTCTTCCAACTGTTCAAAAGATATATAAGTTGTTATCGTCGTTATTGGTCTTTTACTCATTCGCTCGATTGTCCCTTTTTCAACAAAATTGAGCTTGAAAGAATCAAAAGATGGACAATATGTTTTCCTGTCTTTTTAAATTTATGTATCGAATGTTCGTTAAAAAATGCTTGCGCATTATTGTTACTTGTTTCTATTAGAATATTTTTACGCTAAGGATTATTATTATTATTATATTCATACAATATAACTTGCTCATACATATAAATTGCTAAAGACATAAATATGAATTACCGGCGACTCTAAATGACTACAAATAATTGGAAATAAAATTTCCGGAATTGAAAAGAAAGAACTAAAAGGTGTTCCGCGCGCACATTATTAAAATCCTTTTATGCTAAAGAATCTTTTTATTATTTATAATACTTTTATAAATGACTAGAAGCGTAGATAAATTACCGGCGACTCTAAATGGCTAGAAATAATTGGGAATAAAATAAATCCGGAATTGGGAGGCGTAATTCGCAGCGGCGAATCGGTTTTTGCGTTTCCGAGCGCGACATTACGCCCGAGTGATTATAGAATTTAAACGATACAATCATCATGCCGGTCCGGCCAAAATCGTGGATAAATCGATGCAACGCTAATCGAAACGCCATCGCGAACGCGATTTCACAGATATGAAGTGTTAATGCGGCGCTAATAAAAGGTCAATTACGTCCGGCAGTAAAATTTTATCTATTCGATGCACGACGCGACGTCATTGATCGCTGATTATTTATACGTTATCTGGGATCTCTGTCTTGAAATCATTGAACTGTGAACTCCGAGTGAGCGACATATTTGTTTGGAGCGAATAAATGTGTAAACTCTGTCCTTTTCAATCAATAAAAAAACATCTCGCAAACTTAAGCGACTTGAAAATAATGGGATACTTGCCAAGAAAACTGCTGTTTATTACGAAATATTCATTTTTGTCAGTTCTACTAACGATAAATTTTTATCACGTAAACTGCAGATAAATTGTCTTTTTTATAGTCATTTCAAAATAAAAATTTCAACTTGTTACGCTTCGTAACACAGAAAACATTGAAAACGTTCTAGTCAACTGTAATATTTTACTGCATGACGTTATAAGCATATTATAAAATATAAATATGTGTATAAATATTATATTATATATTTATGTTATAAAAAAATCTCTCAGAAAAAAAAATATAATGGCAACAATAAAAATGACAGTAC